TCTCTTCTTGTACCAGTACATTAAATCATGGAGGAATAAAAATTAAATACACATGTGAATCTTATTTTTATTCTTCAAGGCTCAGCGTATAAGCCGCCCTGTGTATAAGCCGCAGTAAACATTTTCATGGGCAAATTCAACGTATAAGCCGCGGCTTATATTCCGAAAATTACGGTTATTGTCGATTTAAGGGTAGGTCTAAAACATTTCAAAGCTTCGAGGCAATAAGCGAACTCGAACATGGCATGCGCACGCTTAAAACTTCAAGTTGACAATATACCTCTGCTTTAAAACATGCACAGGACGTCCACAGTGTACATGTACATGCACGTACGTTGTACATACGCACATACATCGTATGCCAGTCAGCCCGCAGCGCTAGCACACGTGTTGCTGAGGTCAAATCCTGACCACAGTTACCGTTTTAGCCGATTTTCGGCTAACTTTGACAAAACATGCACAGGATGTCCACAATGTACATGTACATGCACGTACGTTGTACATACGCACAGGTACATCTTATGTCAGTCAGCCTGCAGGGCACGTGTTGCTGAGGTCAAATCCTGAATAACTTTGACTAACTATGACAGACTTTATGTTCATGCATAGTCAGAGACGTATTATTGATAAAAAAAAAATCATAATGCGGAAAAGCCCTATGTTCTGTTGCAAACAGACATAGATCTCTAGTTTTTTTTTCATCTTCTTCTTTCTTCTTTTTGTCGCCTAAACCCCATAGACTTTGTGCACGTTTTTTCTGGCCTCCACTTTTGGCATTAATCTTTGTCATACATCATTCTAAGTTTGCATAAGCATAGTCCCTATAGCAAAGATGTGTCCCGAAGATTGACGTCATGGTGACGTCATCGACTAATTTATTACAGATTTTTGAATATTTAATTTTTCCCATAGACTTTGTACACAGATATTAAGAAAAAATTGTCAATTTTCAAAGGGCATTTTTGACTCTTTGCCAGTAATTCATTTGCACCAATATTTGTCCAAGCAAAGACCCTAATTCAAACAACATTGTGTAATGATGACGTCATGATGACGTCATCCGGTGTGTATCTATAGGCAATTAAATTGTGACACTTTTAATATTTAAAAATGCATAAGAAATCAACCGTACGCGTCCGCAGCATTCTGTTACCGGCAAGTGGTAGAGTAGGTTGAGGTCTTTATTTCTTTCAGTGTGCGTGAAATCACGTGACCCTTGCTTCCGGTCGAAAAAGGCCCAAACCGGAAGTGGCTTATTATTTGAAAATGATAATAGATATGAACTTGCTTTTAACGGTGTTAGTCTCTTGGCTAAAAGTATTCTTCAAATCATCTACCAATGACGTCATGCAATCTTCGAGCGCCCTCTAGCGACAGGTTGAAAATTTGCAAAAATGTATTTTGAATAGATGTCTGTGGCGAAGTTTGTCGGAATCGCCTAAATATTGGTGTATATGATGACCTCGACCCACTTAAGACGTAAGCGAAGTTTTAGGCAAATGACGTCATCAGACCAGAAGTTATAATAAAAAGACCTTTTTTCATTTGAAAATTCCTGAAAAATCAACCATGTCAGTTTTTATGTTAGTTTTTAATTTAATTGTCGATTTAAGGGTAGGTCTAAAACATATCAAAGCTTCGAGGCAACAAGCGAACTTGGACATGCCCTGCGCACGCTTAAAACTTCAGGTTGACAATACCTCTGCTCTAAAACATGCACAGAACGTCTATATGTACATGTACATACACGTACGTTACGCACATACATCGTATGTCAGTCAGCCTGCAGAGCACGTGTTGCCGAGGTCAAATCCTGTCCACATCACAGTGACCGTTTTAGCCGATTTTCAGCTAACTTTGACAGATTTTATGTTCATGCATGCGCGTAGTCAGGGGCGTATAATAAAAATTCATAATGCCGAAAAGCCCTATGTTACGTATTTAAAGGTGCAGTTTTTCTGCAGTGGGATTTTCCACAAGTCTTTTCCTATACAACACTGATATCTTACTGAGTAGTTCTGAACTTCAGCCGAGAATTACTATGAGAAAGAAAGAGAAATCGTATTTTTTTCGGTCTGTCATTCGATTGAACATATTTCTAAGGGTCGGAATATCAAGTAATATTTCATAAAAATGTTTCAGTTCAAAGGCAAATTACAAATTTAAAGGTGCAATTTTTCTGCAGTGGGATTTTGTTTAGCCCGTTAACTTTGTACACGTTTTCAAGCCACCATTTCTATAACTTGGCGATCTGGAATCGTCATCAATGTTACAGCCAAGGAAGACCCTCATACAAAAATTATGCCAAGACTATGGCGTCATGATGACGTCATCACCCAATTTTTTTTCATTGATTTTTGAAAATGTACGTGCATATTATGTTGTCCTATATCTACAGAACTGTAAGTCTGATTGGGTTGAAACTTGGTATGTGGCTAGACCGGGATGTGTTATAGGTAAAAAAAAAACCCAATAAGGTGACGCCACGATGACGTCATCCGGAGATTTTATATGAATATTTGAAGTTTTTGACCTTTTAGCCATATCTCATGAACGTAACATGCAAAATTCAAAATTCTTTGTGTATTTGGTCTGTTAGGTAAAAGGTATTTGCACAACATTTTGAACAAAATATCTGACATCATTATGACGTCATAAAATGCGATTTTTCAAAACAGATATAAGGAAAGGTCCGACTGTCATGAAACTTAATGGGTAGGTAAATAATGGTACTAGTATACAAAGTTTAAAGTGACGTCACGATGACGTCATCGTTTGGTTTTTATAATTTTTAGATATTTTACATTTTATTGTGCTTCCACAAATTGCACACTTTCTTTCATCGGATTGACATTAAACTTGGTTCAAACCAAAATCACAATGACAAAATGTGCATTGAGAATGGTCTTAGGCCTAATGATGATGTCATTGCATGGCAAGTGACATCATTTGATAAAATTATACTTAAGGAATTATTCTAAGCGTTTTGAACAACCTTTAACTGCATGAAGCACTCTGAAAAGTGACTGCAAAAGGACAAACGAAACAAATATTTGTAAAATGCGAAAAAGCCCTGTGTTCTGTTTGCAAACAGACATACAGCTCTAGTTATTATAACTTCCGGTCTGATGACGTCATTTGCCTAAAATTAGTCGATGACGTCACCAGGACGTCAATCTTTGGGACACATCTTTGCTATAGGGACTATGCTTATGCAAACTTAGAATAATGTACGACAAAGTTTAATGCCAAAAGTGGAGACCAGAAAAAACGTGCATAAAGTCTATGGCATTTGAAGTGGAACAAAAAGAAGAAGAAGATGAAGAAGAAGAAAGAAAAAAAAAATAACCAGAACAAAAACAAAGGCTTTTTCGCAAAATTGCGAAAAAGCCAAAAAAAAAAAAAAAAATTAGAACAGAAACAATGCTTTTCCGCTTGTAAGCGGAAAAGCAATAAAAAAAAGCGTCGTTTAATAAATAAAAAAGCCGCGTCCTTGCGTCAATTCCGAAACTTTGGTCTGACCAGAGACCGAATATTTTTATTTTTTCGGCCTAATAGATAAATAAATAAATAGACAAGTAAGTAAATTTGCCTAAATGATTAATTAAATAAGTGAGTAAATATTTCATTTTTAATTCTTTAAATTAAAAATTAAATAAATTAAAAAAATTACCATCTTAGAATAAAAATAGAATAATTAATAAAGAGTCAGCGGACAGTCATTATTGATTAGAACCCTTACCCGATTATGGGAACAGTCGATTCCTCTGGTTTACTTTAGTGGGTTTAATCTTGTTGGCTTTGGGCTCACGCTTCCTTGCAGCCTGCCTTACACATCGTACACTCTCATGTCATACGCGAACCCACCTACCTAACATGGTGCTACTCTCCATATGTAGTAACACTCTGCGGGTTAACCCTAAAGGGGGGGGGGCGGACCCCCCTCAACTTTTTCCGCGGTAGCTTGAAAAAATTTCGCGACCCGAGCTGTTCTGACTTTCTAGCCTGGAGCCTTGTACATCTTTTGATACCAAAAACATAAAAATCAGACAATGGGTTGCCACGCAGCGAAAAAATTTTCGGGGCGTTCCCCATATACGTAGTGTACACAAAGCAGAATTACCATTCATGCATATGAATAATTAATTAGCCATAATTTCAAAACCCTATAACCTATAGTCATGAAATTTCTTGGGTGTGTTTATGATCAGTTGTATTATGTGAGTTTCAACATTTTTCGTCACTCGATGGCCGAGATCTTGGGGGGGGGGGCAGAATCCCCCCCCCCCCCCGGCTGAGAGATGATCAAAATAGTCCGTCCCTTTAAGGGTTAAAGAAGAGCATAGCCCCCCCCCCCTCCCCACCAAGGTGTGGGCTGATTATAATAGTCACTTGTTAATACAATCCCATAGAGTACCCACCCGCCTCCCCACTCTCACATATGCATTCATTTATGCACCTTACGCTCGAGAAAAGAGGAAGTATGGCGGACAGGCCGCAAGGTACTGCAGGTTTATAAATCTTAGTGAATGGCTAGAGCTCTTTAGGGAATAAGGCACATGTAGTAATACTCTACAGGTTAGTACTTGCTAGTATAATCGCCCCACACCTTGTGGGATGGGGGGGGGAGGAATTTTAAAGATCTTCCAATATCATCATAAAATGTAAATAAATGAGGTCGGAGCTTGATCTGAGGCTATGATCCTCACTACCAAACACATTTCAATTGCAGTCTTTTGTCCTCACACGTTTTGGTATTTTTGGACAGAACTTTATCTTATTGTGTTTTTTTTTTATGATAATTTGATCAATAAACTTGCATGTTATTATTTTAGTTGAATTTGTGTTAGCAATTAACCAGTTTGATTCTGTCAGTCACAAATTTTGAACATTTTATCATTACTCCACTCTTCTGGCTCTCTACTGGCTCTCTACTAATTGTAATTTGGTTTATTACCCCCACCAAATTGTAATTTCTTTCATCACTCTTTTGCATCAAGGTGGAAGAGGAAAGCAAACGATTGATTGAAATTGACCATGAGATTGGCAGTAAACAGACAGATCTGAATAACCTGATCTCTGATTTAGACAATAACAGCAAGGATCTTGTCATAGCTTTGAGAGATGCGGAGAATGAACTGATGTCGTTTAAACAGAAAATTAAAGTGAGTCTCTCTTCTCGTAAGATATTATCAAAACCTAGCCTAGCTTCGTGTCCAATTTCAGCTATATCTCTGGCTTCAGCATCTTTGCGAAGTTTTTAATGTCTAGTGAGAGAGCCCCATAGACTTATTCGACGACAGCCATTTTCTGAAATGGCACCAGGCTCACTTGAGTTGAACTCAGGTAGTATGCATGCACATTGGGCTCTTTTGAAAGAACGTGTGCGGCATATGCATGCGGAAGTGATCTTAAAAATGGCTTCTTGTTTTGTTTGCTGACTTGGTCCATTGAAAATACTCTCAACTTTGACTCTGTTACAGAATTTGGGTGTTTCTAATAGACCTACATTGTGCCAGAGGGTTGCATGTAAGGAGCCTAAAATGTAATAAGCCAGAGAAGAAAGATTTTAAAAAAGCTTGTTTTTCATGTTAATACTCAATACATCTAGTTTGTCCTTGATTGACTCTATGCATGAGTTCAGAGGGTGTTGACCTTAGCTTACAAAATAAAATAGATTGAAGGGGATGAGTTCGCTGGTTCACATTTGATGTCCTTCCATATACAATCGGGAATCATTGATACTTCATCAGGAAGGTGGACCTCACCAACTCGTACAAAGTGGGCTCGTTTCCAGTCCCTTTTTTATCTTGTTACCCACAGAGAAGGGACAAGAACTAGTCCTATTTAACCTCTGCAGCAGGTATCCCTGCATAGGAAGTATGTGTCAGTAGTAGGGATAGTGGGGGTACCAGATCAAAATGGAAAATCTGTGGCAAGCCTGAACACGTCGCTCTCGTTTTTAAAAATCCCCAGCGTCAAATTTTTAGAAAATACCCCGATCCCAATTTTTAGAAAATCCCAGCGTCAAATTTTTAGAAAATCCCCCGATCCAAATTTTTAGAAAATCCCCTGATCCAAATTTTTTGAAAATCTGACGTCGGGTACCGGATCAAAATCCCCCGCGGCAAACGCCAGGTACCAGCAACTAATGTTTTAACCTAACGTATCTGTAAGGTTGAGTGATAAACGTTCAGATGATCGCTACAATAAAGGTGGGGCTGAGGGTGACACTCTAAGAGGAAAGGTATAACTCGGTGGATCGTCTTCATAATGTTTATTTACTGAGAATTTGAACTTGTAAGTTTTTCGATAAGAGATTTTTTTTCTTTTGCCAGCCGTTCGTCTACCCGTTTTTTAACTTCTTTTTCAAAGTCTGTATCGTTTTTAATCTTTTGAAGCTTTGTGCTGGTCTTTGTTCTAATTTTCTGCTTAAGCTCGTTAAATTTTGCGAGCTCTCTCGTAATCAGTAAGAACTACTATATATCTCTGTCGTTGATGGCTTGAGACACGTATTCTTCAATCGTGTTAAGTTTGGAGTCAGCTAATATTTTAATCTGGTCGTGCTTTTTTAGCTTGGCGGATAATCGCCTAGACGTGATTCTAAGCAAAATATCTACACCAAAAGTGCCTATAAACGTTCCTTCTAGCACCAATCCAACGGGGGTTGATATAACACCCAAGAGAGCGGGAATACCAACAGCCCCCGCTATAGCCCCCAATCCTTCTAATCCTAGCTCTACGTAATTAATAGTGTCGATCATTCTCTTAATTGTTTTATAAGTGCGCTCTCGGTGGTCTCTCTCTTTCAAGATTAGAGATCGAATCTCTTCAATCTTTTTAAGTCTGTACACTTTTGTTTCTTCGTTACTATTTAATCGGAGTACATCTCCAGAAATATCGGGGTATAACACCTTACCATCTACACTCATGTTTTTAATATAAAAAGATTTTAAAATTAAAAGATCTCCAACTCTATCATTATACTCACACCCTTGTTGTTGATGATCTGTCCTTTTTCACCTATGATTGAAAATGTCAGTTTGTCGATTATACCGTTTTTAAGTTTTTTGAAATCCTCGACTCTATCAGGCTCGGGTTCGCGCGTACCCACGGGTATGATTTTTAAGATGTCAGAAGGATGACCATCAAAAAAGTTTTCACTCGTACTTAATTGCGGGCAGCGAATAAACAAAAATTTAAACGGATTAACGTTGTAAGACCCCGTATACACCACTTTGGGTATCAGTCTTCCTTTGGGTAAATTGAGTAATCGAGAGACTTCTCTGTTCAAGCGCAATTTGAGATTTACGTCGGTTACCACCAACGTCACATTTTTAGATTCTCTAAATATTCGAAAACTTACCCCGGGTATAGAGTTTTAAATGAAGTCAAACCAATCGACGTCGTACCACCCCGGCGGTATGGTGACTGAACCGGTGACTCCGGCTGGTAACGGCGCTAAATGACTCGGAGAAATAAAATCTAAATCATCACCCGACACGATAAGACTTCCCCGTATTGTCACCCCAGCTTGTCTAATTACTCTCGCTCTAGGTTTGCTTATTGTACCTTGGATATATTCTAGCGCTATCCTTCTACCTTCATTGATGTATCCCCATCTGTCATATAAGATGTTTGCCAAAAACTTAAGCGTATTGCGTTGTGCGCCTGAAATTGGTCTTATTTGCAATTTATCGACTATAAGTGCTTGTTTTATAGAAAGTTGTTTTTCTTCTTCTTTGAGTAATTCTAAAGCAGAGTCTAGTCTCTCTTCTGCATATGCTTCTATAAGATCGTTTATAACTCTATTGAAAGTATTTTCATCGTTAAAAAAAAAGTCGTAGGGCAAATCACCTATCAACGATTTGACAAAATCTCTATCTCTTCTTGTTAGTGCGTCGGAGTCTAAACTATACATATGCACTCCAACAACAGGTTCTCTTTCAGCTGGTCTCCCATCTATATGCGTATACCAATCAATCTCCGTGGCGCTGGAAATATTAAAATATCCGGGGTTAAATATCACCCTTTTTACGCGTACAGATTTTTGGCCGTTTAAATTATCTACGACGTCTTCTAATTTAAAAGTCTGCTCATTTTGAAACAAGTGAAATGAATGCATTTATTTTAAAGTCTTTTTATATTAAAACTAAAACAATGAGTCAAGCAAAGTTTTTAAACAGCACTAAACCCAGTGAACTGGAAGTTATAGTTAATAATACCAACGGGTTTTTAACCTTGTTCCCCGACTTAACCTCGGACTATAAATTGCCTCGCATCACAACGGATGAGGATGTAGATCGTTGGAAATCACACCCCATGTCGTTTTATCAAAATCAGTTAAATTTTGCGATCTACTGCGCTACTACGGGCTGCGGTGTTGGATTTGATCTTTTAAACGCGAGCAACCGTTACGTTTGGGCCATCTTTAACTTTCATTTATATTTTACGGTTAGAAAGATCCTGTACGACTTTGCCGCTCCTTTACCGGGAGATGACGCATTTAAAGCTCTAGACAACAACTATAATCAGAGAGCATTTACCGATACCTCTTTGTTGTTTGGCATCGATCAAAATAAATCTTTTAAACAGACGAGAGACACAAACTCTAACGGTTTAGGTATAGCTTATTATTGGGACACATCTTACGTACCCGTACCCGGAAACGATTATGATCCAACGACCTTAATCTCGAGTATAGTCAATATCGTAAAAATATGATGGGTGGAACTAAAATGGGGTTTGGTTTGGACGATCCACCCAAGGGTTCGGGGCGTTACAGCGATTACACCGTAGCCTTTATCGAACAAAATGAATCGGTACAAAAGGCTTGGTTAGATTTTATACCCGACACGAGTTTGTTTAACCCCGCGGGAATCATAAAGATCAACGAATCGATCAGATCTTACGTGTACGCTTTACTAGGTGCACAGGCACAAACAAAAACGAGCATATTAACACCGGGCACTGGATTAGACGCTCAGAGACAATTTAACGTCATCGTTGAAGATATCATCAATGCAGTAGACGACATGGAAACGAGTATCGATCAATTTCAAGACTCTTTGCAGTATGCCAGAACGCCTTTAAATTTTGTCGTGAAACCGGGGTTGTATTTAATTCCATCGGATATGAACTTGAGGGTTGGAAGGCACGACGGCTATAACAACAATCTTCAAATCGCTACCCAGATTATGAAAATGGTTTGGTGCCAGATTTAAACTCACAACCTCAACCGGACGACTCTTTTGATGACACCGATGACGTCGCGCCACCTACACCTCCAGAGCCTATGACGAACGATATAGAACCACCAGCACCAGCACCAACACCAACACCTACACCTACAGTTTTAACTCAAGAACCCACGAAACTACAAACTCACCAAGACGAAAAATTATCGTTGACGGTAGGAATGTTAGCTATCGTTGGCATGGGTATTTTGGCTTACGAGGCAACGCAATAAGTCACACTCTAATCTCACAACACAAAAAAAAATAAGCCTTACCAGCTTTAAGGTGCTGGTAAGGCTTATTTTTTGTTTAAACTTTGATTACAACTACCATCGTTTTTGCAGGTACGCAAACACCAAGGCTCCCACACCCAAAAACAAAGCCCACACGTGTTCGGCCAACCACGATACGGACTTACTCAACACGTTAAATATCCAACTTAGTACGCTGCCTATGATACCCGGCAGAGCACCCAACGCGCTCACTCCGAGTTTTTGAAGAGCAGATGCAAAATTAGCGAGTTGTTTTGAAATCCACTCTTTGATACCGCCTTTTGGTGCTGGTGTTGGTGCAGGTGCTGGCGATGGTGCGGGTGGGGCACCCGCACCTCTCACGCTAGCGACGATGCTACTCACTATCGTGCTGATGGCTAAACTCAAAGCGGCTAAAATACTCACTACGGTCACACCTTGTTCTCTAAACAGAGTTCTAATCTTTTTTGCCAGAGTCGTGTCGTCGCCTAATATTTTATTAATCGTTTCTTTGATTCTAGCGATCTGACTTTTGAGCCCTCGTTCGTTGACTTTTGAGGCTTCCAATCTGGCGGATCTTTCAGCGTCTAAGTCGCTCAATTTATCGTTTAACTCTCGTCGACCCTCTTCGCTGTGAGATTCGTCGAGTTCTTGTCTCGCGTCTGCAATCTCTCGGTCTAGTTCTGTAAGACGAGCTAAATTAAGTTCTAGGTTACCTCTCAACGTCTGAAGAGTTTTGTCTAATCCCTGGAGTTCTCTGTAATTTAATCCTTCCGTTTGAGCGCCGGTGTCTTGTTCTAAATCGTCTATAATCTCGATTATCTCATCGGTGGCTCTGGGTAGTTCTGTCATGGGGATACTCTCGGGTTGTATCGATTGCAATTTTTGACTTTGATCGTCACTGAGTGACTTACGTGCGTAATGCGTAAAGCCTAATTCCTTTCTAATAAAATTTCTACCTATAAGACCCATCTTTCTTACATTTATCTCTATAGTCCTCAGATTCAAATATTTTTTGGCGTTTCTTTGATCCGTTAACCTAACATCACCTTTATCAGATTTGTAAAATAAACCGTCTTTTTTGAGAATAAATTTTTCGTATCTCGGAGATATTGGTTCATTGTATATGTTATAAGTTTCGTAAAACTCATCAACGCTAACATTAGTGAACACGCTTCTTCCTTGATCTAAAACAGCATCTATGTCGGTGACGGGTGTATCAGGAGTTTCAAAGTCGTCATCTACATTGGTCTCTGCTACATCGTCATCGTCTTCATCGTAATCGTA